CCTTCCTTCCTTCCTTCCTTCCTTCCTTCCTTCCTTCCTTCCTTCCTCTAGGATTACAGGAGTCACTGCGTCTCACAGTTACTGCACTACTAGGGATTGAACCCAGGCCTGCTCTACCACTGAACTACATCACCAGCCTTTTTTATTTTTTTATTTTGAGACAAATTCTAGCTAAGTTGCTGGAACTTGCCATCCTCCTGCCTCAGCCTCCCAAGTTGCTGGGATTACAGGCCTGGCCACCATGTCTAGTTCAAGGGGACTTTCAGAGTGATAAAACTGTTCTTTGTCTTGATTATGGTGGTATTGACTATGTACATTTACTGAAAGTCATCACACTAAACACGTACAATTGGGTAATATCATTATGTTATTCCAAAATATAGTAAAAGCAAGTTGGGTTAGGACTCAATTGTCTTACTGATAATTTATTTTTGTCAAGTTTAATAAGAAATCATGTAATATGGCTGGGTGCAGTGGCATAACCTATAATCCCAGTGACTCAGGAGGCTGAGGCAGGAGGATCCTAGGTTTGAGGACAACCTTGACAACTTAATGAGACCCTATCTCAAAATAAAATTTAAGAAGGGCTGGAGATGTAGCTCAGTGGTCAAAGTGGTAAAGTGTCCCTGGATTCAATCCTCAGCATTGAAAAAAAGAAGGAGAAGGGGAAGAAAAAGAAGAATGAGAAAAAAAAGAAGAGGAGGAGAAGGAGGAGGAGGAAGAAGAAAAGAAACCACAAAAGGTAAGGGTCAGAGTATGTTCTAAACATCAAATCCTGGCCCCTAACTGTCACAAGCACCCTAAGAGGTTGACATCCATATGTAAGTGCTTGCTTATTATTTCTGGTGAGAAAACTGAAGGTCAGAGGAGAGGTGAGCAGCCTGGAAGCAGAGGGTCCCATATTCTCCCCGCTGCCTCCTGCTTTGCACTCATGTTGGCCCCTTCCTCATTCCCCTCTCACATTCCAGGAAGAGCCATGGAGGCAGGAGAGGATACCCTGACTTCTGCTACCAAATGTCTGAAACATCTCTCCTTTCTCTTCCTTCGAGATCTTCATCTGCCCACCTGCAGCTCCCCAAATGTGTATTGGTCAAAAGCAACTTCTCATCTTTCAGAAATCTGAATGCACAGCCTTCTTTATCCAGTCATTTACCAATCATTCCTGAGGGTTGCTGGGTTGCCAGCACTGCTAATACACTCAAATTATTGCTAGTAATCACATTGCAATGTTTTTCTTGTTAAGTCCAGAGATATTTAATCATACCTTGAAAATGGACTTTTCCAATTCACTACAACATATGAATGAGAAGACTTGCCATAGTAACCCTTTCTTTTTCTTTTTCTTTTTGTTATTAGATCTTTATGGATATACATAGTAATTTGGTTCATCCTGATAAACTTAGACATGCATGGAAATCTGTTCCTTTTCCCTGTCCCTTTCCCTTCTCATCCCCCACTTCTCTTTTGTCTACTAGACTTCCTTTTGCTGGTCTATTGATTTGTATTTGATGGGTTCTTTACACCTTTTCAATAGTAGAAAAACTTAGCTGTCCACTATCAGAAGATGGTTAAATGAAATACGGCATCACTGTTCACTAGGAACCCAGAGACTTTCAATGTCAGACTCTGGTGACCAGTATAATACAGGATGCCCAGTTAAGTATGTCCCAAAGAGTACATAGGACATCTTATATTTTAAAAAATGATTATTTACCTAAAATGAAAATTTAATTGGGGATCCTGTATTTCTGTGTATTAAATCTGGCCACCCCACTCGATTCCAGACTTTCTCTAGATTCCTAGTGAACCTGTAATGAAAGGTCCCCTTTCCAATGTTAATAGCTATTGCCTTCTGTCTTCTTTATCCTCTTTTTAACATGAGGTATGTGTTCTTTAAAATCTAAACTCTAGAAAAAGAAAAGAAACAACTACTTGTGGAGAAAGATGGAAGGAGAATTTGAACTTTATTTCCCAAATTTCACTTACTTCTCTAACCATTTGGAAGACTTATACCTCCTCACAAAACCAATAAAATCCATTAGAGCAAACTAATAAATCCACCTACCACCCAGAGGAAATAGTAGGCACACCAGGGTAAGAAACTGCAGTAGGAAATTACCTCCTAAGTTGGTAAGTCATCTGTTTTCTGGGTTCCCCAGTTACTAGGATTTGAAATTTATGATTATGAAATTATGATTTGAAAACAAAAACAGACACACATTTTTTTAAAGGTGGCAAACTTAAAATCTCTAGAGAGAAAGGAGATTGCTCATGTTCTAGATTCCTAAGACTACACTTTTGTCTTGATTTAATTTGCTCATTTTGAAAGGGGACCCTGCCCTGGGGAACAGTTGGCACTGAAATGAAGCCCACTATAGATCCAGCACCCTACAGATGGGGCTGGGTGAGCTGAAAATGGGTTGAGAAAGTCACATGTGCCCTGTTCCTCATCTCATATCTGTAGGTGATTAGGAGCCATAACATGTAATCATGAAGCTGTATGCCAAGCAATTCACATTTAATCCTTACCAGTTTTAGGGATTAGGAAACCGAAGCCCCCCAAAGTCTAAAATCTTAGTCACACAACTAGAGCTCTTTGGGCAACACTTTCCCCCACCTGTCTCAGGTGGGGGGGTGGCTACTTGCTTCTGACCTGCTCACCTGTTCGTTCCAACGGTGTAGCTGGCTGTAGCGCACCTTGCAGAAGAGGAATCCGTCCAGGTACACGGAGTACAGCTACAAACACACAGATCCCGCCCCGAATTAGCTAAAGGAGCAGGTGAGCAGGGTCACCCTCTCCCTAGCCACTCAGCCCGACCCCGGCCCCAGGCGCACCACGTAGCGGCCTCCCAGCGAGTCTGACCGCTGCTGGGACACCGGGATACAGAAGTGCATCTTCATGACTGGAGCAGCGACCCCGAAGGAGCTCAGGGAGACGGACCCGCGGTGGCGACGCGATCACCTGTTCTGCACCGGACAGCGGTGGCGGTAGCTGGGCTGACCTCGCCGCGGAGGCGGGTCCCTGAGCCAGCTCACCCAAGCCCAAGCCGTCCCCAGGTGGGCGGGGCCGAGGCGGTGACCGGGTCCCCCACTCCCTCTCCCCTCGCCGATCTGCAGGCTCCCAGGAGGGACTGAGGACGGGAAGTAATCAGGTTAGAGACCCAGGAGAGCGTCAGAGGTCTGGACTGTTGGAGGTTCCTTGAGGGGTAAAGAAAGTGTGTGTGTGGGGGGGTGGGGGGGGGGGGGGCAGTAGGATCTCCTGGTGAGAAGGTCCAGAGTTTTGATCAGATTTTCATAGGATTCCTGGGACCAACCCACCAAAATTAATCCCGGCTGCATCAGCTCCAGCTGCGTGCAAATCCTGTCCAGGTGCCAGTCCAGTCTCCCCAACTACACCCCACCCCACCCCAGCACAACGCCCCCAGGTGAGGCTACTTACTCCCTGCGGCCACAGTCCAGGAGAAGCTGGCCTTCTCCAAGGGTCTCTATGACTTGCGAATGTCCATTCCTTGTTCAATCGGTGATTCAGGAAGGTGTGTGACAACACCTTCAGACCCCACCTCAGCCTCAGACTGCTGACATCACTGGATGCCCTGATGGCCTTGAAAAAGTTTCTGCACCATTACCCACCAACTGGATGCAGAGCACTATGAATTAAAAAAAAAAAGTATATATATATATATATACACACACACACACACACACACACACACACACACACTGAGTCTGCCACAACATATGTAATTTAGTTTTTTAAATCTTTTTTCCCTTTAATATTAATGTATTAGAAACCTCCAAAAAATGGAAGCAACTTAGGACTCTCTTGATCCCAGAGAAGCCCTGGTTTCAAATAGTTGCTTCACCCTCTCAACTGGGTTCACCTCAACTACCTGCTCGTCTCAAGTTCTTTCAACAATCTCTCATTTTTAATTTCTGTGAAAAGGAGTCCTTTTAATTCTCTAATTTTGGCTCAGTTGGAATGGAATTCCTCCCACCTTGCCGTGGTCCCTGGTTGGAGGAAGAGCCTTGTGGACCTGATAGATCAGCATTTGGTTGACTCCATCCTTCCTTCTCTCCTTAATCAGCCCATAACTCTTCTGGTTTTAGATCAACATCCTACCAATAACAAAATGGACCCAGAGAGTGAAATAACTTTTCCAGGGTTACAGGGCATTCCCCCCGCCCTCTCCACATACTTCTGAGAAGTTTACTGAAAGATTTGGGGATAACCCTTGAAAGCTCTTGAAGATGCCTGTCAGCCTTGGGAAGGGCTGGCTGTTGAAAGGGGAATCTGGGACACAATAGGAGCCAGGCCCTAACCTATGTATGCCATTTAATTTTCATAGGAACCTGTAGCTAGGAACCTCTGCAGAGTCTGGCTTTACAAAAAAGGGAATTGAGACTTAGAGCTGTTAAATGTGGGTGGTGTTGCCATGCAGTGGTTAATTAAAAGAATTTAACAGGAACCTGTCTCCTCACTTGGTGGCTTCTAGTTGAGTGGTCTTGAATAAGTTAGTGGACTATTTAAGCTGTACTTTCCTCTTCTATGAAAATGTGTAAATACCTGTACTCATTTAAGGGAATTTTCAGTGCAGGGTGGAAGAGCTTTAGAGTTTATTTCCTGCCATTGATCAATGGTCTGGAGGAATCTCTCAGTGGCTCCTGGGGCAAAAGCCGATCAGGGAGGCCCTGGAATCTGGTCCAGTCCACAGGGCAGCAAGATAGAGTATCTTTGTCAGTCCCAGAAGTGGCCCCAGCCTTCCCTGGAAATTTCTTCCATCTGTGGATGGCCTGGGCTCTGGCTCTGTCCATTGGCAATGTCCAATCAGGATCATTTCCTTTCTCTCATTGTGCACCCCACCCACAAGCTGAACTGGAACAGGTTCGGCCTCTGTGTAAGTCCTTGCCTTCCTACATTGCTGACCTCTGGTCCACCCGGCAGCTCTTTTGAACTCATCCAGTCAGTGGATACTACTGAGTGCCATCTGTATTGTGATGTGTTGGGTGCTCTAGGGTCCTTTGGGATTTGCAGGAATATAAAAAACCTAGGATAGGGCTGGGGATGTGGCTCAAGCGGTAGCGCGCTCGCCTAGCATGCCTGCTGCCCGGGTTCGATCCTCAGCACCACATACAAACAAAGATGTTGTGTGTTGAGAGCCACAGCCGAAGGGGCCCCAGCAAACTTCCAGCTTACAAACTTCCATTCTTACATCTGCAACAGAACCAGGATGCTTTTTTCAATATCTATTTTATTATTGCCCTTTGCCATATCATGAAGTTCTATTTTGTTTTTTGAGCTCATACAGACCTAGGTTAATGTTTTGCTGATCAGTTCTATTTTTTGACTATAGAGTTTTTAAACATTGCAATGGAGATTTCACCTGTAAAAAGTTATAAGGCCTTTACTATAATGTTATGTGTTGTATGTATTATGTTATGTGTGCACACTTGTGTTTTGTGTTATATGTTTGAATGTCCATATATCATATATGATGAGCGCTCATGATAAAATGGATCCAAATATTTTTTTTCACGTGATTTATATGGTTTAATTTATATTGGGTAAACAACTGTTGAGGATTGTTTTAATATGTAAACAAAAAAGAAGGTTAACAGATCTGTTTGTTTACTTTCACCTTTCCTTTTCATTATATTTAATAATTCTCTTAAAGATAATGTAAATTGTTAAGAAAATTGTTTTCTTTTAGTGCCTTCTGTAATGTTACATAATTTTTTCTTTAGCCATTATTGCCAGAATTCCTATCTTCATCCCAGTGCCGGTGAAGACAATGTAAATTGTTAAGAAAATTGTTTTCTTTTAGTGCCTTCTGTAATGTTACATAATTTTTTCTTTAGCCATTATTGCCAGAATTCCTATCTTCATCTCAGTGCTGGTGAAGTCAAAGATAAAACCAATCTACACCTTCTACAATAGCCATCACTGAACTGCTTGCAGAACTTGCCTGGACACATTGTGAGCTCACCTGTATGCATTTTGAACTATCTGTTGGTGCAGCGACTTGTGGTAGTGTTGGGGTATTTTTGCTGATGATGTCACCGGTGGTACAATTTTTCAAAGGAGCCCTCAATTGGCTTAATGTCATGACATTTTGCATCCTCCTCTACTAGTGATGGTCTAAAATTTGGGGGCCAACAGAGGTGAGGCAAAGAACCTCACCCCCCCCACTGGTGCAAAGGCCTATCCACAAGTATGGCTGTATGCTGGACCGGTAGTCAGTGACGGGTATGATCCAATTGCAGTGGTACCAACCTAAGACAGGAGGCTGACGCCTAGAGGTCAGTTCATCCGATGACGGGTAAGGACCATATGTTGAATTGGACTGCCTAACAGGCACGGTCCCTAAGCCACATGCTTGTTGTTTAAACAGAGAGGGGGAGATGTTGAGAGCCACAGCCGAAGGGGCCCCAGCAAACTTCCAGCTGCCAGCAATCCAGCTGCCGGCTGATGATTGGCTCACAGCGGCCCCAGCAACATCTAGCTGATTGGCTCCTTGGCCCCAGCAACATCTAGCTGATTGGCTCCTCTGCGGTGATGCTCATTGGACTGTTTCCCTGCCCTTTCAGACCACGGAGCTGCTCATTGGGGGACTTTTTGGCTCTGCCCACGTGACCCAGCCAATCGGCCTCAAGAGCAGGAGGATTGTGGGAGGTGGAGAGAAGCTTGTGGGGGGGAGAGAGAGGCTTGTAAAAAGCCGGTGGTGGCAGTTGAGGCTCTGAGGGGTTTTTCCTGAGAGGCTGTTTGTTTGGCGTGTTTTGTTCAAAAAATAAAGTTAGTTTCTTTTGACAAGTGGCTCCTGATTGTGCCCAGCCAGACTGCGGCAGTTGTGTCCGCCAAAAACTAAAAAATAAATATTAAAATTCTCTCTCACTCTCTCTTTAAAAAAAATAAAAATAAAAATAAATAAAAAATAAAAAACCTAGGATACACAGGACAGGTACACAATCACACCAGGAATGGGCAGTTCTGAAACGTCCTTGGTTCCTGGATGATCTTCTTGCCTGGAGACCAAAGTTGCCTGAATAGTGTCCTCCAAGTATCCATGTCTACTTGGAATCTCAGAACATGACAATTTAGAAGTAGGGTTTTTGCAGATATATTTAAGGTCAGGCTCAAAATGAAGTCCTACTGGATTAGCGTAACTTTAAAGCCAATGGGAGTGTCCTTATAAGACACAGTAAAGGAGACACAGATGCAGAGGACAAGGCCATGTAAGATAGAGGCAGAGAGGTGGAGATTGGAGTTTGGCTGCCACAAGCCAAGGAACATGTTAGGCCACCAAAATCCAGAAATAGGCGAGAAAGAATTTTCCCCTAAAGCCCTCAGAGGGAGTATAGCCCCGCACTTGATTCCAGATTTGTAGCTTCCAAAACTGTGAGAGAATAAATTTCTGTGGTTGTAAGCCACTCAGTTTGTGGAGCTTTTTTATAGCAGCCAAGATATAAAACTACACCAATCCTATGGTCACAATCACCCTCATGCTAGAGCTAACCACCAGCACCCTGGAGAGGCAGGCAGGGTGGGCTGAGCCCCTGGTACATGCCTGTGTATGGGCCTATGAGAGAAACGAACAGATGGAGGGTAACCCATAGGAAAGGAGACCTGTGATTGAGGGGCACTGTCCTGAAAATAGTGACAAGACTGGCTGCCCCATGTAGCCCCACTATGGACCAGGAAGGATACTATGTGTTAACACGCACAGGCTCATTTCATCCTTGAAACAACAACGTGAACTCAGAGTGAGGGCTATTCCTGTTTTATAGGAGATGAAACATGGTGGAAGGAAATTAATTAATAGTCACATTTTGAGGTTCCGAGTGACTACTTGCAGGACAATATTCAGTCAACTATAATAGGTCTCCAGGTCAGAAGATCATCCAGG